CCTGATGAGGAAGGACAAAACCAGGTCAGAAGAAAGCCTCTAAACTATCTCTGTTCACTTGGGATATAGCCCCATAATAGAGTGCGGACAACAGATGATTGGATCCATTCCAGTGTAATCTAAAAAGCATTTATGAAGTGCCTACTGTGACCCAGAAGCACTGTACTAAATACTAAATAAAACAAAGACAAAATGAAAGACAGCTCCTGCCCTCAAAGAACTTCCATATTGCTTGTGGTGGGGGGGGGGGGGAGATGAATATGTAGGTAAGAGGTCGTTGTGGAGAAAGCACCAAGGCTAAGGGGAATCAGGAAAGGGCTCCTGTAGGTTACAGCACGTGAACTGAACCGAGGCATCCAAAGGTCTGGGTAAGGTCTGAATTATGTCTTCAGAATAAAAGCATAGTTGTGTACACAGCCTACATCTCTAAACATGTATTTGTCACCTACTGTGGGCAAGGTGGATGTAGTGCAGTTGGACCTAGAGACAGGAGACAGCTGGCTTCAAATCCCCACCTCTGACAGGTTCAAGAGCATGTGTGACCTTGGGTTAGTCACAACCACTCAGACTCATTTTCCAGCGTCTCTGGATTGTGGCATTTACAGGACAAGGTTATTATGAAACTCGAATGAAAGAATCTTTGTAAAGTTCTCCATAAAGATATACTGTTAGTTGCCTTATGTGTACTCTTTGTTTACTTGTATGTGACGCACTTTTCCCTTTAGCATGTCAACTCCTTGTCTTTTATACCCTTCCAGGGCCTAACACAGTGCCTGATACCTAATGGATGCTCAATAAATGCTTGGTGATTGATTCACAAAGGCCAAAAGAGTTTCAGATTGTAAGTAATCACTGGAATTCAACAACATTTTTCTCCCCTGAATGTATGCTCAGACAATACATGGCATGGATGACCAACAAATACAAGAACCTGCTATCCCTAGGCTAAGACCAAAGAGCCTAAGGAAGAACAATGTTTTGCTGTCTTCCTAGGGGCTAATCAGTACTGAAAGACTCCCAGACTGAACACAGTTCAAGGCACAGTTACTCCCACAACATCAATAATTAAGACAGGATGGCCAACTGTGATGAGAGAATGGACTCTGAACCAACTTAGACCGTGGCTTTATACCAGCTAAATTGGCAGTGGAGCAGAAGGGACTTCACACATTTCTATATCAACTGGGCTCCACAGAGATGGATTGTGCCATGTGCTCCTTCAGGGTGGAGATTCTTTGGACTCTTTTCTTATCCCTAGTGCTTAGCACAGTGCCTGGCACCTAGTAGGCACTTAATAAATGTTTGCTGAATTGAATTGAAAGTGGGAAAATTTGGCACCAACTGCTCTTAGATGTGGCAGCATCTTCTTTTGGTTGGTTGCTGTTTGATCATTAAGACAAATCCAGAAGCCTCCGTGTGAATTGGGGGCTCCTCATATTGGGGCTTCCTTTATGTAAATACAAGGACATTTAGTTTGGAGATGCAGGACCTGTGTTTGAATCTTGGCTCTGCCATTTACTAGGTAGGAGACCCCAGGTATGTCCCTTAAATTCCTTGGACCTCAGTTTCTTAATCTGTAAAAATGAGGAGGTTGATTAGATGATGCATGTTGCCAACTATCAAAAAAAAAATCTATGATTCTGCAACACTTCCTCTGGGCTACTTCCCTACACCCTCATCTTGTGCTGACTTGCATGGTGGGTGGTGGTGGGTATCACTACTCTCACAGTTAAATGATTAACCATGTATGTCTATCTTTCTGTAACTACGTCAGACAAGTTGGAGGACAGCCTCCAAAACCAGCTCCCTTACTAATCAATGATCCAAAGTACACTATGAAAATGCATTTACTCTATCATTCATCAATGCAGTTAAAATAATACGGGGTATGCCAATGACCAACTTCCAGAAAAATACTCTAACCAGAGGCAGCTGACCAGCTTAAGAATGTGCAAACAGACCTCTAACCCTGACATGCTTCTATTCCAGCAACTTTTAAGACTTTTTTGCATACTGAGTATAAGTTTAATTCCTTTTCCTGGCATTGCAGGTTCTCCACAAATTGGTATCACCTTATCTTTTCTACCTTAACTCACATAACCACCTGCACACATAATACATGTTAGTCAAACTGATATGAGTTTTATTCCCTGGACACATCACGTGCCTTGTATTTGCTCATGCCATTGTCTCTGCTGGTTGTCCTTCCTTGCATGTTGACATTCTATCTACTCTTTGAAGTTTAACTCAAAGGCCAAAACCTTCATAAAACTTTCCATGATTTCCACCATCAGTCATGTCCCTTGGGCTCCAGAGACTCTGGTTTTCAACTCCCCAATCAATCAATCAGTCAGTCAAGAAGCATGTGCTGAGTGCCTAATGTATGTGGAGCAGGAGGCTATTCAAGGTGACTGGGATAACAAGAGAAAGATGAAAAACCTCCTGCCCTCCAAGGGCTTGCATTCGAACACCTCAAAGACACTCCCCAAATAACATTGCTTTTTGTAATGGTTACAGGTCCAAACCCCACAGTTTTGCCTCTGCCATGTACTCATTTATAATTAGGGCTAACTCACTTAACTGTTCAGACAAGTCCCTAAGACTGAAAACTACTGAAGAGATTCTGATCTTTCTAGGTGGAGAGGGGATTCATTCCAGAAAGTCTTTATAATAATTAACTAATACTTTGGACCACATATATAGTAGATGAAGATGAGTTAGAGATGCCGAGATACACAAATATAGTTATGCATTTTCTGTCTTTTGCATAGTAAATCTTAAAGAACTATGTAAAGAAAGCTACTATAATTATCTGTCTTTGAACTTAATGATGGCAGTGACCATTTTTTTATCTAAACTTTGAATCTGCCTCACACAGAGTACAACGTTCTGTACAATGGGTAGTTGAATAGATAGATGGATGGGTAGATAATCAAATTTTCTTCATTTTAACTGTAAAGAAAGGCTGAGGTTAGGAGTCAATGCTTAAAGACATGTCCAGATTGCATCTCTTAATGATTTTACTCCCTAATAAATGAGCACCCTGGATGTTCTGAGGATAGCTTCCTCTTCTGTTTTTGCCACTGGTTCTTATGGGTCTCTAGATTTTCACATATATATATATGATATATACGTCATTTATTTCCTAACAAATATGAAGATGACAATTATTTTGACTGAATAGTAGCTAAATAATTAATTAATATAAATTTATTAAGTGCCCACTATGTGCAAGACATTGTGTCAGAGGATATAAATGTAAAGAATGAACCAGTCCCAGCTCTCAAAGATTGTATGATATCAAGGAGCTTATAATCATTTGATTAAAAGAAGAACATTGTGTCCTTAATTAAATCAAAGAATGCACCCAAAACTTGATTAGGCACTCAGGGAGTAGACTCTAGCGTTTTATCATGCTTTTCACCAATTAGAGCTGGTGCTTGCATGTGCTTTTGCAAGCAAGCTGGCCATGTAATGGCTTCTCACAGGTTCCTAGAAAGAAGTCAGTACCTACTTGGGCATTTTTGTGGCCACTCCAACTACGCTTTTAAAGGATGACAGATGGTATCCTTAGAAAGGTAGGCACATTTGCACCCAAGATGCTAATGGCAAAAAATATATATATATAATACAATACAGTAAAATGCATGACATTTGTGGCTGTTGAGCTCCTGCAATGAGAATCTGGACAAAGGAGAGAGATTGTGGGAGCCGCCGCTCTTGGCAGCGTCCCACAGAATGAAGAGGGAGAGAAGCAATATGCTTACAGATGTTGATACGCCTGTTGCCATGACAATGTCAGTCGCTGTCTTTGTGGCTGTTGCTATGATGGCAGCACCTGGTTCTGATTCCATCTGTTGTCCTGACTATAGCATCTGCCTCTACCTTCACTGCTATGTGTCTAGCCTGGGCCCCTTGCCCTCTCCTCAGTTTCTGCTGTCTCTATGTTTGCAACATCTGCTGTGATTTGTCTTTGTTTTGCACATGCGACTTCATGTACAGTTTATATGAGCACCCGTTTTAGATGACAATCGTATTTAAATTGTACTCAATTCAGGGGTCTTAGACTGCATCAAAAGAGGCATAGCTTCCAGAAATAAGGAAGTGACATTATCTCTGCACTCTTACTTGATCAGGCCAAAACTAGGGTATTGTGTTCAGGTCTGGGTTCCACATTTTGGGATGGACATCAATATGCCAAAGAATGCGGAGAAGAGAGAAACCAGGCTAGGTGAAGTGTCAGTCAGTCAGTAAGCATTTATTAAGCACCTCATATGTGCCAGGCATTGTGCTATGTACTGGGAAAACGATAAGGTCAAAAGATAGTCTTTGCCTGTAAGGACCTCATAATCTAATGGGAGAAAAGAACACATAAAAAGAAGATGAAAGGTGGGGAGGGAGGGCACCAAGCTAGCCCTGGGCCCCTTCTGTAAATGGAGGATGTGGAAGGAGCTGTCCAATGTGTCCAGTCGAAGGGAGGGAGAGGGCCCCAGGATCAGGGGGGACTGAGGAATTGGAAGTTTCAGAGTTGATGAGATCTTGTAGGAAGATGATTCGCTGGAGAAAATTATGAAGTCCAGGGGCTTGGCCACAAGAGGGCTTACATTCATGTGAAATTAAAATTAATTAAAAGAACTGGAGATGCCTGAAAAATAGCAGAGTTGGGAGAGTGTCACAAGATATGTCTTCCAATATTTGAATGACTCTCCCATTGGCTTTATTCTGCCTGGTCTCATAGAGATAAATCAGGAGTAATGGTTAGAAGTTAAGAAGAGGTGGATTTGGACTTAATCTCAGAAAAAAAAGAAAAAGAAAAAAAGTCTAACAGTTGGAAATCTCCCAAAATTGTGTACCTTAAAAAGTCTTTTTTTTTCTTAAAAAGTCTTTAAGAAAACCCTTGATAACCACTGAATAGGCATGGTATAGAGGGAACTATTGAGCAGATGCAGTTCAAATGAGTTCCCTTTTGGAATTCTATGATTCCTTGAAATATCCCTTACCTGTGAAAAGCTGTTTCACTAAAGATGTTTTCCTTTGCCAGACTTTCTGTTCCTGACACTTGAATTATTTCCTTGGCAACTTCAAATTTTCCATAGTAGCAAGCCCTAGGGTTAAAGAAAATATAGGTTCTTTTTTTAAATGCTGGGAGAGTCACATAACATACCTTGTAGACCCAAATGCCAGTTCATCATACTCACAAGTGCAAAGGTGTGTCCCCATAGATATTAGCTATGTGTGGCTGAACTTCGAAATCACTTTGGAGCAGAAACTTCACAATATCATCATGTCCAAATCGAGAGCAGAAGTGGAGAGGCACGTGGTCTTCATTATCTTGGGCATTCACTGTCATCAACAACAGAGGATGGAACAGGTTATTGTGATTGTTTATCATTCAGTTTCCCTTTGAGCAATTGCTTAATACCATGCCCTGTGTCCATGGAGTCCTCAGTAAATTCTAATTGATGGTGATGCAATTCGGTTCAACTCAACGAGCATTTATCAAGCCCCTCGTATAGGCTCACGTGCTATGTGCTGGGCATACAAAGGAGAACACAACAAAACAAGCGTACTAAACTCTCACTGTTGCCCTCAGGAAGCTTGCACTCAGGTGACTGGGTATCCCGTCCCTCAGCCTCCTCTCCTCTCTGATAGAACTTTATTTGAGATCCGCAAAGGGGAAACTGGACTGATCAGCTAATGGCAACTATGAGTTTACACTTTGACCATGTGTTGCCAAAGTCTGATATGAATCTCTTCAGAAACTTTGGCTTACAAGAGGAGAGTTCCCCTGGTTTCAGAGGTATGATTTATACCAACAATTCTTACTTTAATACATTAGTAATACCCTTTTAAAAAAAGTAATTAAGGCTACTTGATTGATAATGGGGAGGATGCTAGATGAAGCCTTGTGACTTCCAATATTACAAACTTGTACCCTTCAAGATTACTCCTGGTATTCTGAAGGGGGGTATAGTTAGTTGCTCTTTGGGGATCCAGCTGACCTATTTGAATAGGACTGGAAATGGCTCTGGAAGTGGCGCTACCCTGATAGAGAGTTGGAGGATTTCCTCCCCACTAACCAAGTCTCCAGTGAGGCCTATAGGGAGGTGAGAGTACTGTTCCCCATATTACATTATTGAACTGATTTTTGAGACTATGCCTAGGATAATTGGCTTAATTATCAGGCCAGATGGGTCTTGTAGTGGGTATGCATATGCAAGGTTACATCTCACGAATGCTAGAGATAGTAACATGCTGCCATGGAACGGTTAACGTGGAAGCCATAATCATTATTTCACTTTTGAACTTGTCTCTTGAATGTTCTTCCCTTATTTGGGGTAGTGTTGTTGAAGGCTGAGAAATGGAACAGACATAGAAGAGCCAAGAGGTGTGAGACCATGTAACGGGGTGACGGCACAAGGCTCATCTCAAACACTGCCTGGTAGCACCGTGGCTAGTGCCCCCCAACTAGCTTATATTTACTTTGTAGTTATTTTATTTACTTATCTGAACCCCTGCCTGTATAACCCCTTCCCAATTCCAGTAAATATGTTTTTGAGGGCAGGGACTGTTCCATTGTATTTCTGTTTTATTCTATTGTTTCATTGTTTTTGTATCCTAAAGTATATAGCCTAATGGATGACATCTAATAGAACCAGAGCTCCCGATCACTACCAGGAATCAGCATACATAGCAGGACTCGACAAATGTTGGCTGATTTGAATTACTGATAGGAAAGAACATTGCTTTTGGAGCTACTGGCCACGAGAGCATCACCCATCCATGATCCTAGTGTGGCAAACTCCAGGAATTGTATGGATGGCACCAAACCTACCATGTTATAAATATATAATTGAATATAACTGTGAGCTGGAGAAAAACCAGGGATGCCTTCAAGTCTTACTTCTCCTGCTCTAAGCAGATTTGAGTAAGGTCAATGGAAGAAAGCCTTACAGAAGACTGTGCATATGCCCTAGACACTAAGCCATCATAGTAACGAATGGTCTGGCCTTACAAGAGTGAGTGGCTTAAAATCTGCCCTACAAAATGTACTAGCTTTAGCATTCTGGACAAGCTGATCACTGACACTGCTTTTGCTCCAGATAACTGTCTAGGACTTATTGATATAGTAATTCATAGTTGGTAGTGCTCAGCATTGGTAGATGGGGCTTTCCAGATTGATAAAATCACAGAAACTTGCATCCTCTGAAGGGTGTGCTGGGCCATGCACAGCACCCTCTTAGTGGGATGGAATTAATGGGATTCCTTTGAAAAGAGTACAGGTTGAACTAGGTGATTTGTGCCTTTTGATGAAAGGCAGTGCAGTATAATTTAAAGAACACTAGAAACAAAGTCAGGAGACCTGAGTTTAGATCCTCCCTTTGCTATTTTCTACCTGAATGACTGTGTAAGTCACAGCTTCTCTGGGCCTCAGTTTCCTTATCTGTAAAACAAGAGGATTGGCTTGGATAGAATCTACTATCACTTCCAGCATCTACACTTGATGACCTTATGGCTGCATGATCTCAAAGGTAACTTTTAGTGTTAAGAGTCTCAGATTTATAATTTGATAATTAAACAAGTATAACTGATGTCTATAAAGTGTTTTAAAGTTTAAGGTTTAAAAACTGCTTTTGTCTAATATCTTCTTTGATGAGCGTTATGTTCCCTATCCTCTAGGTGTTTAAAATCTAACTTGGAAGACAGGATTTACACATACATTTATTAATTAAAATTAATTAAAAATCACATCAAGGAGGAAAATAATCGAGTGCCAAAATACATTGGCGTTCTACTGTTTCTGTTCTTGTGTGTGTTTGTTTTGTGCATTTCTCAGTTATTATTTTGAATCAGAATGAGCTCACTATTGATGTTTCTAGGAGGAACTCTGTTTTCTCTTTCCTGTGGAAATGAGAGACACAGTACGCCATAGTGGGTAGATGCTGGGCTTGGCGTCAGGAAGAAATAGGCTGAAATGGGCCTCGGTTTCCTCAACTGTAAAATAAAGGTGGGGTCAGCTAGGTATGGCAGTGGGTAAAGGAAGATTCATCTTCCTAAGCTCAAATCTGATCTCAAACACTTGCTAGCTGTATGACGCCGGGCAAGTCATTTAACCCTGTTTATCACAGTATCCTCGCCTGTAAAAATGAGCGGGAGAAGGAAATGGCAAACCACTCCAGTATCTTTGCCAAGAAAACCCCCAATGGGGTCATGAAGAGTTGGATGTGAATGAAACGATTGAACTACAGAAACAAATCAAGGTGTTGGGCTCAGGAACCTCTGAGGTCCTACCCAGCTCTAAACCTCAGATAATCAATTCACAAATTCTTAACAATGCATGTTTGAGCTCTTGCCAGGTGTTTAGCATTTCATCTTCCACTCAGTCATATTAGATGGCATTACCTCTACTCTGGGGAAACCAGATATAATCCTATGATATTTACTCATGTAAATCCACTGCCCTTTCATGTTCTTATTAGCACCTTATTGTAGGAGGTTAGTAGGTTCTGTAGTGAACTCCATAAGTGCACAAAAAGTAGTGAATAGATTATTCTTCATGATCAACCTTTTAATTCTTTAAAGTTTTATTTTCCATTCAGTCTGGCTTTTCAGTGTTGATTTTTTTTTTAAAGGAATGAGTATTGAGATTGGAGTATAAGGTGATTTTTTGTTTGCACGATAAATTTTCTATGTTGTGACATTCCTGTCTTGATTAATTTCATCAGATATTTATGAATTCATTTGGTAAAATAAATGTCCACAAAAAATCCCAAGTGACACTCCTATTGCTTACAGAACAGTATTTTACATAAAATGGGCCCATTTTGGAGAGTGACTAAAAAGGTTGTCATCAAAAGAATGTATTTATTATATGATCTCCCTTGTACAGAGGCTCTAAAACCCAAGAATAATATTATGTAGGGCCTTCAGTGTTCACAAGAAATGACTGGTTAGCAATCAGTCAATAAAATGTGTTTTAAGCATCTACTATGTGCCAGTTGTGAACAATACATATTTTGATTCACATTTCAATGGAAAAATCAAGGAAAAAATGACTAAATAAATGTATCAAAGTAGTCACACATTTTGTATTATGCACTTGAAGAAACATTAGAATGAAGCACTTAGAATCAGGAAAACCTGGTTTCATGGTTTGGCATAGTGTAGATGCTTGCTAAATGTTGACTGAATGGCTGACCAATCCTTGCTAGATATGTGACCACAGATGTTCTGCTTTATGTCCCCTATACATGAGTCTCCATCCATCATCTCCATCCCTTTGCAAAAGCTAACCCCTCTGCCTGGTATGCTCTCCTTCATCACAGTCTTTTGAAGCCCCATCAGCTCATGGCTCACCTTTCCAGGCTCCCCCCATTATGAATGCCCTCTCCCAAAAAAAGTCACTCTGCACTAATTTTGTACGTTGATGTTATTTTCAAACCGGTGTCTAGTATATTTCCTCCTATTAGAATGGAAATTCCTTGAAGGCAGAGTCTGTATGATTTTTATCTTGGTATCCAATACCTTATGCAAAGGAAGAGTTTAATAAATGATGGTTGAATTTATGAAAAGTCACCCTGGGAAAGTAAATTAACCACTCTGAGCTGCAATTCCCTTATCTGTAACATGAGGATAAGAATCAGCCATAGCACCCTCCTCTTAGGTGTGGTTGTGAGGCTCAGATGAGACAATATTTACAATGGGCTTTTTAATCCTTCAACCTTATAGTAAATTAGCTTGCGCTGTCATCCTTTCTATTATCACCACCACCACTACCACCCCTGCCAGCGGTCATCATCACCATCATCATGATTAAAATGAGAAAGGCAATGTCGTGAAGTGTAATAGTAAATAACAAATAGAAATGGATCTCTGAGGGCTGCATATGGACTTAGAAAACCAATAATTAACATTGTCTATGTTTTCTTGTATTTTCTTTATTTTGTTAAATAGTTTCCAATGACATTTTAATCTGATTTGTTTTGCTTTCAGAGGTGTTGGAGGTTTGAGGTGGCCAGTTTAACAACTCTGTTGTAGTGGATACACAGATGACCTGGGGAAACAGGATCCTGTCTTTGACATATCCTGTCTCCACAACCCTGGGCAAGTCACATGGCCTCTCAATGCCCTACATACTTCTCTAAGACTGTTAGTTGCAGGAAAACTGCTATTCCCATCAATACAGGAAGTTTATCATGGAAGCTCCTTCCCCAGTGAAATCACATGTCTGGTCAAAAAGAAAATTATTATACTTCAATATTTTTGTTAATCTTTCATTTCAAAAGTGCATGGACCCAAGAAAACAGATCTATTAGATTTCTTATATAAACTAGCATGAGGAA